GGGGAGATGCAGCCCCGCGCCGGGCGGCCTGTTCTCCGCGGGTCCCTGCCGGGGCAGCTGCTGCTCCTGCACCCGGCGCCGCTCGGACTTTCCCGGGAGTCTCCCGGCCTTCACCTGCGGGCGACGGGCAGCCTGCGCGGCAGCCACCCTGGAGGGGCCCGGTTTCCTAGGTTTCCCCTTCGCTGACATGCGCGGCCGGGGGTGGTGCGAGCACGGGCAGGGGCCCGGCCATCAGCACCCTGGACAGTTGCCGGCTTCCTGCCCTTGCCGCGTCTCTGCCCGGATCAGTCCGTCGCGTCTGCTCTTGTGAACGTCGCCCTGCAAAGGGGAGCGGTCGGTCCCACGAGCCAGAGCGGCAGGGCTGAGCTCGCAACCCCCGGGCCAGTGCCCGGCCACGCGATTCCAGTGACCCGCCGGGAGGGCCTCCTGCAACCCCATGTTTGTCTTCCTTAACGAAGGAGTGATCATAGCATCGATTATACATAAAGCCAGCGTGCAATTAACCAGGCTGCAGCACGTGCGAGCGGCGCCCTGCCCTCTTTGCCTCTCTTCCCACATAAATTAGAGCGGAGCGATTTGGCCATTCACAGGGAAAGGGTCGATCATCTCAGAGCAGGCGGAGTGCGGGTTTCCATTGCAGTTGCACTATTGAAGCTTGGAACTGAAAGGGAGCAGGACTCGATTTCATCAGTGGCTGGAGGAGCAGTGGACAGGAGTTCAGCACTTGAATGTGAACAGATAACATGGGAATGTGTACATGCATTGGAGGGGAACCTGTTGGATCAGGAAGGGGAAAGAGATGTTCTTTAGTTAGAAAATGGGGCTTCCATATTTTCAGGTCTGGCTGGTAGATTAGGCAAGGAAGCATCTTGATCTAAGGTGGCAATCAGATCCCCAGCATTTGCCCTGAAATGAACTAAAGAAAGCACTTCTAAATCCCTACCAGGGTGATAAAGAATGATCATAGAAGCATGCAGATCAGCAACACCATCATGCCTGTACAAATCTAGTTTGCATTTACAGTCATTCAGAGTTCATGTTCTTGCTTCCCACAGACATAGATAACCAGTGGCCTCTCCTTGACAAAAGGACCACCCAACATTTGGGCACAGTTGGCAGGATCAGCCCAAAAGGCCTAGGATTGAAGAGAAGGAACTACTGCAAAGGTGCACTGGGAGCTTGGGCCAAAGGCTGTTGATGCTTAGGGAGATTTCTAGGGCCTTTGGATCAGGGCCTAGCACTGCTGAGTGCAGAAGATGGCCCAGAGGCCTTGTGGTGTCGTGCCCCAGGTACATCAGTGAAAGACCTGTCACTTCCATGACTACTTATTTATTCAAGATGAAATCAATGCAAGTCAATTCTTGCCTTAAATATAAACTTAATTGAAAATATCTCCTACTAAAATTAAAATGCTGCTTGCTGGATTTTTTCCAGGGTGGATCTGATTTAAGCTTTTTGGGCCAATAGGAAAGTTAATTTTAGTAGTATAATGACAAAAGAGCCATTTGTAAGATTATTTTGCTGGACAAAGAGGTGTTTTGATTTTATCCCATTTTAGAGTGATACAACATTACAGTGCTAAAATGTAATGTGTTCTCAGAATGTTAATTAAGAGTAAAACTGATTATTCTTCAGAAATTTCCTGGGCAAAATTACTGGCTACCTTATAATGCTAAGACACATGTGACCCAAGGAGTGTTATATTTAGCCTTTTTATTTCGGGTTGGGCCATCAGATGACTGTTACACTTCAAAATGAACTTCAAACACTAGTGCTCCACTTAGTGGTAGAAAATATTAAATGAGAAGACTCAGGTCCCATCCTTTAGTGATTTTGATGCACAAATTCACAAATTAGAGTGAATCCTAATGCTCTAGAAATATTGAAAACATAATATATCTAGAATGACCTTTTATGAAGATAAGCCAGAAAAGCTGGCTGGCTATTTAAAAAAAAAGATTATCTGCTGATCTTTAATATTCTGGACCAGCATTTTGAAATGGATTGCACTGATGTTTATGCATGATTTGAACTGTTGAGAAAATATATTTTTACCAGCTTCAGTATCAATGGTGCATATATAAGGCTGTAATGTAAAAAGAGGGAAAAAAAGCTATTTTTCATATGCTGAGCAAGAGCTGTTTAGTTGGGCATCTTTGTTTGTCTCTGGTTTTTGTTTGTTTATGTGGGTTTTTTGAGAAAGACAGTTTATAGGGCTTTAAAATGTATAATCACTGAAATGGCTACATTTTACCTCAATGAATCAAACTAATCACATTTAATTTTAAGCCCTCTTAGCAAACCACTTTGTAAAATAATAACAATTCCAGAATAAAATTCTCTATATTGTGAAGATATTTGATTTTACTAACAAATAAAAATATTTTTCTCATTAAATGTTTACAGTTAACTGAATATTTCTGCAACTCACTGTAGAAGTCACAAGGGCAGAGTTAACTATAGC